TTCACTCCGCACAAAGCGTTTCGCTCTCATCAACCTAATGATCTCGGTGTTTTTAATGCACACTGAGGCGAACAGGCTTTTGATGACGCGGTGAGCTAACTAGAAGTGTGTACGGCTCACACTGAGGCTTTTGCACGCCGTCCCACAAAGTTGCAACCGTTGCTGTGGTTTTCACCTTGATGTTGGTATTGCTGGTTTTTCTGCCATATCGCGCCTACTTCCCACGAGTGTGCTCTTATCACTTGGATCGTCGCCTGGCGAGACAGCCCCCTCTCGCCGGAATGTCTGTCATGTTGAATACTCTCACTTGTGCATTCGTCCACTTATCCAACGATAGTTACTCATTAGAACAAGCGGCCAGCTTTGCGAGATTCCTTCTGGCTATCGGCATGCTTGACGGTTGCGCCCCATCTAGCGTACATGTCGGCCCACAATGCAAGGGATTAGATTTCACTATTTGACATGTGATTATCTAGCCGTGTTCGATTTGACGCAACGACTAATCTTCCTTTTGCTTAAGATGCTGTGTCAAGAGGTGTCTATTTCGTTGCGCACCCCGAACCACAAAAGTTTCTTCGCATATTTTTTCTACCTGGTGTCTGAGTCACGACTGTGTACATGACCATGTGAATCTCGATCTCCGGTTCTTCACTCGTAGGAGGAAATCATTTGCGCTGATTTGGATCTCAATGAGCTAAAACACGTACGCGAATCTATCCCCGTCGGTCGTCAGCGTCGACTTGATGTGTACACTCCACCGAAACTGCTTGTGCGACACACGCAAAAGTAACAACGTTCAGGTGCGTTGCGGCTCCGTTACCATCAACAGTCTTTCTTGTTCAGCTCTTTATATCGCCCGGATTCGCGCCTTTGTATTTCACTTTATTGACTTCATTCGCTTTACAATAAACAGTTTATGCACTTCACGTATTCTTCCTCACCGCAAGATATATTTGCGCAGGGTTCACTGTGGATAGTCTGATAATGACATTCCAGCTGTTGGTGTGCAAAGTCCACCATCGTTAGGTGCAGCTAGTCTTCCACTGAGGTCATTTTGACCCTAAGTACCGAATCCAGCGCGAGTCACGTAGATCCCAGTCACCTAATTTGTACACATCAGGTAAAGATACATGTTCGAGACTCACTTGTTCGCGACGATTAGCTCCCCGATACGGCCTCAATGTGATGCTGCTCTCGGTTGTATGTGCTGGAGGTGTTTAATGTGAGTGATAAATTCAGGGAAACCGAACCGTTACCATTTGTCACGCATCGATTAACTGTGACCGAAACGCATATGTGGCCTCCCGTCATTCGTTTAAATACCAAACAATTTAATGTTTTCGTTTAAAACGTTCTCTACGTTACGGAATCGAGCCGGGGCTCTTGTATCTCTAGCTAAAGTCTAGACAAGTATAAAACTGGTCGCGGAGTGCAGTGTAGTGAATGAGCTACCAAACATTTAGCTGAATCAAACGGTTCGCACTTAACGGCGAGCTGCCAACCGACTGTTGTAATTTGGTTCGCCGACTATCACTCTAAAGGACGGTCAGGGGCATATCAGTCCACGGAATCGAAAGACGGAGACAATGGAACAGCCTAGTTAGCGCGTATAAACTGAATTCCGATGATGACAGTAGGGGAAAACAACAGCAGGCAGCTCAAGCAACAACCAAAAACAGCACCGAGTTGATTGGGAAAATGAATTTTCCCGCCTCCCCTTATTGAGTATGCTAGTAGTGGAGGTCTAGGTAAGTCGAATTGCATCTATGCCAACAGTCTGCGCGCCCAGTCGGTCCATCGTTATTGATGTGAGGAGATTGGAACTGGCTGAAACAGGCGTTGGGGGAACGTCACGGAATTGCTCTTTGATTTTAATCTCTCTGTTATTTAGCTATACTAGATTGTGCGCGGACGTATGTGTCTACTCTAATCATTGGTGAAGCGCCCTCATGAGTTCTTCATCTAAGTATCGGCCGGTGATTGTCCGTGGTATCGAGCCTCCGCTCCCCTAACTTCATCACAGTAGGCGAACATTATTACCCGCAGTGGTTTCATCCGATCTCTCGTGGGTGGAGCTTTTACGATAACTCGCAAATTTAACCACAATCACAATAGGGTTCATGTATTTGGTATTCATCGCAGCTAAACTTAGCCACTACACATTTAGGAACGCGCTAGATGCCGTCTTGTCTTATTGGGACTCATCAGCAGCGCGCACCCGCCGGATTCGAACCCATGACCTTACTCTTACGAACCAACGAGTTATGCCATCGAGCTATGACTGATATCCAACTGTATGAAATAAAAGGACAAGGTAATACTAAAGCGAGCCCTCATGTCTAGACAAGTCATCCGATACCTTCAACCCGAGGTTATGACACGCGATCCGATGCCTGAGACAGGTGACAGCCGAAAAACCTACCACGATGTACATGTTACGGTCGCGTTAAGAGGCACACCATGTCTACTTAGTCATAATAACTAACTGTCCAAAACATCACACATGATCAACCAACCGAACATGCCCTAGTAAGTGTTGCGATTTCCGCGTTCCGCACCACAGAATCGTATAGGCAGGTTAATGAATCGTTATGATCTACATGCAAACAGGATTCTCCCATTTGAAT